TAAGTTACACAAATGTAGGCAACAACCAGTGTGAAGAACAACTCCCTTTTTAAGTGAGGCAAGACAACCTATTCAAACTGATTATAACCTTGATAAAGACACAAGGCAAAGGAGTTATGTAAACTAGCGTGTGAAAACACATTCTTTGTCAATGTTACAAGACAATGGAGGCGACCAAGTGGAGTAATTACAATATACCCCTGTACAGTCAAAGAGAAATTAGTTTTGAAAGCTTACTTCGGGTCAGCCCTTAATTTGCTTGTTCGAAAGAAAGAGATAGATGTCGCAACGCGAATCCTTTTATTAACCCTTCATGAGTTTGTGTAAAAGTGTGAAAAACAGGCAACGATCTCGAGTCGCTATTGATATTGTTCGCAATTAATATTGGAGTATACGCCTACATGTAAACATCAGACAAGGCGTTGAGATCGATAAAAGTGGGGGTTTATCTGAAAAATTAGATGCCATTTTTGTGAAATGGCTTATCAAGTGATGTGCATGTACCTAACATGTATAAATTCTTGATTTTTATTATTTGAAACATCTTCATACACGGCCTCATATTTATATTTCTCTCAGGCCATACTCATTTTATTGTACAGTATAACATGGGACTCTAAAGCACAGGGTATTGTGAAAGTTAATTGGCTTCAGAGACTTGTTATCCTTCATGCAGTTTTATAGTGTGGATGAACTAGAAACAGGCTTCACTTAGCTTTACTTAATTTACGAAAATTTAAACAAAATCAATCTGCAAGGCTTGCTTTGACTTGATGTTAACCTAACACTGGATTTAAAAGAAGAAATATAAATATGTTGGATGGATTAAATCACCGATACCGTTCTATTTTAACTTAACGTGGTCATAAACACAGTAACACAGATAATATTTATAAGTTGTCTGTCATTCAGCACGCATTATAGGCGAGTAGCCAATCAGTGACTATGATTAATCCAAGTAAAATCTAGGCAAGTATTGTTTACAAAATAGATCATGATGAATAAACCTACGCCTTAACGCTCGGATGATAGCAGCATCACACCCTAGGTCTTAGCGAGTTGACTAGAAGCTTTTTGTCCAAGCATCCTATTTCTACTACTAAACTAATAACTCTTAACCACAAAGGTTTATGCGGTAAAATATTTAAACTAAATGAGATGCATTGACAGAGGCACAAGTACAATCCAACGCCAACGTGCAACAGGGGAAAGTCTGACAGTGTATTACATAATATATGAAAGTGCGGTCAAT